ACTAAAATCTGCATTGCGCAACCACGTTCTTTGGAAATTAACATTACTTAGATTTGCTCCTTTAAATTGAGCACGATCAAACAAACCACAACTTAAATCCGCTCTGGAAATATGAACACCATTTAGATTCTTACCACTAAAGACTATTCCAGCTTTATTTAAAATTGTGATTGCATTTGCTGCGGCAATTTCGAAATTAGTGTCTTCTTTCGATTTCTCAATAAAGTCAAAAAGATTCTCCTCGAATTTATCAGTCTGTTGTGCATCTTTTGATCTTCTATGCTCTTGTACATACTCGGTTAGAAATCGAACAACCCCGGAATTGCATAGTATTAAATTTTTTTCGAATAGTATGGATTTAGCTTTTTTGCAAATTGTCTCATAGATTGATCGAGCAACAAAATATTCAAATAATGATTTGTGGATAAATCGATATTGGTCGCCATTGCGACTTAGAGGAGAGTTGTAAAGTAAAATTCGTGTTTTCGGATTTTCGTATCCAAAGAATTTGCTACGCCAACCAGTATGAGTTGGTGTGTCCTCTACGTCTGAATACTCTACTACTATTTCATTTGCCTTAAACATATCAACGGCCAATTCTTTGTTAAATCGCATACAATGTCGTAAAAAATCCCTTTCTAAAAATTTAAATGCATTCTTTTCATCCTCTTTTAATTGAATATGCCATAACCGTTTTTTAGATCGCTCAAACCATTTCTCCACAAATTTATTATATAAGGTTATACGCGTTATACTTTTTGCCGATTCCTCATTCTCTTGCAAAGGTATTAAGTCTGGCACGACTTTTATAGCAATCTTTAAAATAAAGGGGAATTAGTAATGCGCTTAAAAATGGCTTCATAACTTTGCGCATTCCATATCTTTTGATCATTTTCATTTTGTTTTTCGACGTACTTTCTAATATACTCTCGAATTTCTTCTCCAGAAAAAGGAGCTATTCATATTTCCTGAAGAAACTTAATATTACCATAAGGAGTAAATTTTCCTTGATAGTCTTTACCTAAATATTCTGGTCGGAAACTGACAATAACTTTGGCATCCCACTCACGGAGTTTATTTTTATCATAAAAATCCGATTGTTGATCCTTAATCTCATCATATCCATCCAAGATACTGTAAATACAAACTTAAAGTTTTGTCTCAAGTTTTCGATAATTTCCTCAGAAAATCTTATCTCTTTTAAATATTTTTTAAATATTTTCTCATTAGGATTGTCTATAGTCGGAAGCGAAATAAGCAACGGAATAGACTTGCTATCTATTTCTTCCTTTAAGAAATAGTCATCCCACAAACGTCGAGCAAGGTAACGGTTAAAAGTAGACTTTCCAGCACCATCCTCGCCTAGGAGCAGCAGAACCTTTTTTTTGGAATTTAAGAATGTATTTACCTCGGTCTCTAGGTCAAAAGAGTTCGTGGAATTTAGAGACCGCATTCTCTTTGGTGGAACATACAACCCTAGTGCATTTTTAATTTCTTCATCTTGTTCAAGTTCATCTAAATATTCTTTTCTAATTTTTCCTAACTGCACCAGCGGTTCTGCGACATTTGACGCTAAATTTTGAGATAATTTAAGACGCGCTTCAACTAACAATCCGGAATTGACTTTAGAATGCTTTGCTAAATTGATTATACGTGCCACGTATATGGAGGAGTTATATTTATCTTCACTAGGCGCTACTTTATTGAGCATCTCGTTAGCGTAATTTTTTAGATCTTTATTATCTTGATTCGTTAACAATCGTAGGATTGCTAATACCCATGCTTTAACTTCGGAGTTTTGACCCCATTGAGTTTCACTTCGATAAAGATCACTCAAAAACCTCCTTGCTGCACATTTAAATCCTGCTGTCCACAGGAAATCTGCCCTAAGCGTTGACACAGGCCTACTAAAAACCATTTGTTCTTATTATGAGGACTCTGACTCGAGTTTTACCAATTGATTTTCTTGAATAAAGACGTCTATAAATCGCAGGGCTAAATACCACTGTCTCGTCTGTTTAAACTCTATTCCTTCTTTTAATGTTTTAATTGTCTCAACTGTTTCTCGAATGCTACTTGCAATCTTATCAAAGCCTTCAAATGCCTCAGTGAATTCTTTAAAAGTATCTAGCAATCTATTTGGGTCTAAATTTCTAATCGCACCAACTAAATTAATAGTTTCGCTAGCGATTTTAAACGTTCGACGCAGAACTTCTTGCCATAATTTCTCATCATTTGGGATGTACAACAATGCCTGGCAGGCGTAGTAAGCATGGTAAGCTAACATTGGATTCTCTTTTAGATCGTTAAGCTGTTGATATAACGGCGCATGCAGCTTCTCACGATCGATACCTTTAACGCCTACCCGCACCATGGCATCTAATAATGGACAGAGAGTTTGCAATAATTCGTTGAGCTCAGTCTCATTGTCTTGTTTGTGCAGATCTTCTATATGAGAATGTAAGATTCTTAACATCGCCACTAAATTTCCCGTGCTAACCTCCCCTGTTATCAGGAGAGAGTTGGGCATGTTTTGAATTACTTGAGTTAAGCAAATCAAATGTTTAGAATGTTGTAATGTTGAATTTTTAATTTCCCGAATACTTAGTTCTAACAATTCTTTGTAAATTTCTTTATTTGGAATAGATGCTAGGACTACGATTTCATTGATCATCTCTTCAGTTTTAATTTCTCTCTTAGCGAATAGTTCGATAGTCTCTAGGGCTAATTTTATTAGTTGTGGCACTTGTTCCTGAGTATGATTATTAGGTTGCAGATAGTAGGCCAAATCTTGAGTTCTGTTAATATTATTTATGCTATTTATCTTCGGATGTGACTCTGATTTTACTAGAGAGTCTTGGATAAAAAACTTTAGTTTTGGTAAAAAGGTCGGCGTCGTTTTCTCTATCCAAGAGGTTGATGATACACTTGAATCAGTGGAAGAGCTTTTTATAGGTATGTTTTTTGTTTGCACGGGTTCTGTTGATGTTTCATATTTGGTCAATACTTCGTTATATTTTGACCCATACTTTTGGGCTTCTTTATAGCAAGTATTAGCATTATCTACATCTCCTAAACATTGGTAGATATTACCACTTTCTACATAAGCTTCGGCTAAGCGTCTTTCTACGTCATGCAATAGGGAGGAACCATGAGCCTTGAATTCTTCAATTGCCTTTTGATAAACATCTAACGCTTCCTTTGGACGACCATCGGATTCTTGTTTTCTAGCATTTTCTAAATGGGCCTTACCCTTTTTGTAATGTTTATCGAACATATTTTTTAATAATTTTTTTAAAAAAGGTTGGCTTCAATAATTAAGCCGTTACGCATTCTTCTGTAATTATAGGATTTTTTTTGTACAAAAAGGGGTATTACAAATATAGGATTCTGTTACGTGCGGGACGACAGTGTGTGTCACCGAAAATTCATACATTTACAAGTTTTATCTTTCACTATCGTATGTGCATTCTACTGTACTGTATTACATACAGGACGATAGTAGAAATTAAGTGTTACGACGCACTAGTATACCGTAATAAGTATAGTCTTAATTTTCTTATTTTGATATGCCGAGGTCAGCGATCTTAATTTGGTCGCCATGAACTAAGATATTTTTAGAATTCTTTACAGCATATGTGTTACAGTATTTTGCAAAAATATGTAAGCGTTGGACAAATGCAAACGAATAAATAAAATCAATTAGTTATGAAAGTGTAAATACTCTATAACATACCAAGTCTCGGTGAGTCATGTTTTTGTCATGAATGTAGGAAAGACTCTTTGTAATTTGCATAGTAATATTGATTTTCTTTGTCCAATCGAGTGTTGAGAAATATTTTTTTAAATAATCGCGCAAATTTCCGCGATTAGCATACTCGAAGATATTGCTTATTGTTTAGGTCTTGTACAGTAATTGATTATCCAACTATTTATTATTCTTTAGAAAAAAAATGGACGACAATGAATGGAAAAAGACGGTTCACCTTAAGTAATTCCATAGAACTTGGTTATATGATCATGTGAACCTAATGAACAAACTACTGTATTATAACCTTTTTTTTTTCGCAATAGTTAGATAGTAACTGAATTACGTTGATAGGTATGTAGATAAGGGCACAAAAAATTTAGCAAAATATTATATTGCTTCTCGAATGAAACCTTTCATGTCATCATGAATTGAACATTTTAACGCTACATCCTTTCCTTCATTTAACCAATGCGCGCGAAAGACCTCGGAAAAGCCTCCTCGTGAAACTCCCACTACTTCAATAAATAAAAATGAATCGAACGGAATAAAGTCTTTTTTTTCATAATGCATAATTTATTCGTTTAGTAATTAATATACTCGGCTATTAAATGATTTGGATAATCGATGTCTACTGTATTGATACTGTAAAGTTATTCATGTACTGAATGAATAAAGAAATTTTGTTTTCGGTCTACTGTAATAATATTTATTATTTTGCATTTGAAAAATTTATTTCAACAATTTTGAGTTATACGTACGTACTGTAATCAGAATATTTTTTTATGATAAACGATACAGTATTACGTATATCATTATACTGTATTTTATACCCTTAACGTTACACATATTTCTGTTAATGTTTTATAAATTTATGCAAAGACTTTGATTTTAAAATTTATTTAGAACATTGCTAATTTTAATATATCATCTGAGAGATCGAAACAGCAGAAACTCGATGATATAAATACAATCGTATATCCAATGCATTTATTGGTTTGCATTAAAGAAAAATGGAGAAATGCTTTTTCTCCTTTACTGTATAAATTTCACATACCAAATGATTTTCTTTAATTGAATATGCTAATCAAGCCTCAATGCCACGTGCGAAAACCTCAACTCTCGGGTCTTTCGGTGCGCATTAGTGTATTCGCATCTTTATCCTGTCATTATCTAGTCGCATCTCAGTCTTTTCTTGTCTTATTGGATCAAAATAAAACCAATAGTAAGTACACATAATTGTATATATTACCGAGGTTGACATATAATAAAGGATGGTGCTCACAAAATAATCCTGAATCTCTTCTAAAGATTTTCCGACAGTTTCGGGCAACAAACAATAAACAAATATGAAACCCAATAATGTAAATAATGCAAATAGCAATAATGTTCCTAAGTTTATGTGATAATAATATAATTGATAAACATCATGATTAACAAATGACGGACGGATAACGATAAAATATTTCATGTAAACCTGGTATCGTTATGACTTCAGTTAACGGAAGAAATATCCCTGATACAATTGCAGTCATACCCCAGTTTGCAGCTACGTATTTAAGAAAATTTATATTAAAAAACTTTTTTTTAAAAAAAAAAATAAGAATAAGCACATTTCCCTTTAAAAAATTACCTGCCCCAATCCCCGTGGCTCTGCCTCTGATGTTTAGTGGAAAAATTTCACTTTGGATTAGCCATGTAATATTTCCAAATCCCAAAGAATATACTAAAGAGGATTATCATGAATCTTAGAAACAAATCAGATTGCACAAATGTGAAAACGATCACGTAAGATCAAAACTCACACATCGAAAAGAGCGTGAATGCACAAAGCGTAAACCACGCTCCAGCTTCGTGATTTTTTATACAAATATCATATGCTCCGTATGTAACGCTGACAGTGGAATTTTTATCCACGCAAATTCCTCCGTTTGAATTACTAAACATACATCGATCGTCTGATACACATGCGCTACACAAGTTTTCATAATTGATACATGACGATTGCTTGGTGACAAAACCTGTGATAAAGGAAAATCCAATACTGAATAGAATAAGGCCTATTATTGTGCCAGCCATGGAAGACAAGAGAATTTTGCGACGGCCTATTCTATCGATGAAGTATTTAGAAACCACTGATCGAAAGTTTTGAAAAGTTTAATTTAAAAGTGCGGAAGGAAAGAATTGATGATTATTGAAATATGAACAAGAATTCCGATCTTACTAAGCATTATGAAACTTGACACTGAAATTGCGAGAGAATATATTATGGCAGTTGTCGTCGCAGCAAATCCAATTATTTTTATAATCGTTGCCTAAATTTAATCATTTTTTTATAAAAAAATTGCATTTTGATAAATCAAGTCATTAAAAATACCTACTGCATAATACATTAGTGTGTCATATCCTGCCAATTCTTGTATGATCAACAAACCGCAGGCGATCACTAGAGGTCTCCTATAAGGATATTTGAGCAACAACTTATAAGATCCTTTATTATCTTCGGAAACGGTTTGGCGAATCACCTCGATTTCTGAAGAGAAAAGATAAATGGTAAATTACTTTCATACGGTATAATTAACGATGAATTTGAACGAGAGGATTAATCACCATCTTCCAAGAACTCTCGAGAGGAATTTGGATATATTTCTTGCAGTATAACTATGGCCTCTTCGTTTTTTCCATTTTTCACCAAAAAACGAGGACTTTCCGGAATTAGGAATAAACCTATATTAAAAAAAATGCTTAAGTTTTACCTTGTCAAGTCAATTCCTCAGAAAGGCTGTGATCCAAAAAAAAGAAGCAAATACAGCACCAATAATCTGAATTAACGGAATAATCGCAGAAGCACGAAACATCCACCTCCAATCACCAACTGATGAAAATATAATGCTAATTAAAATTGCAATAGTTTGTGCAGCTGTATACATCAGATTATTCCAAGTTACTAATTCTCCGCGATGAAATACCGGCGAAATTTCGCTTATATACGTCGGAGTAATCATGGACGAGATGCCTCCGGCGAAGCCAACAGTAAATCGACCTACAAGAAGTATCAGAAATGCTGTTGAAAAGGATGATAGAACGTAGCCAGCGAAAAAGAATGCGGCGTTGAGAAAGGTGGTTAATTTTCTTCCGGCCACATCAGCTACGTATCCTATGTTGTTGAAGATGATATCTGGTGAATCCAGACGTTATATACTGTATTATAGTTCCTGCAATCGAACGACACTTTATTACCAGCAATTATGCCACCAAAAAAGCCTCCGGCATTGGTTACTACCATACATAGAACATGGAAATTATGAATAACGATGCGTCATGAATCAATACTGATATATACTGACGATATTTACTTCCTACGATGATCGCTTTTTGAACAGTTGTCAAAACAAAATCCTTTTCTAACATTAAGATTGCGCTACTCAGGATTCCCACGTCATACCTAAATAATAATTTACCTTTAAGAAACAAATGACAAGAGAAAATAAAATACGCTTTTTTTATGTGTGCACTCACCCAGTCGTAAACCCACTGATCGCCACAGTAATCACAACGAAATACAAGTAGGTCGTGATATTTGTTTTCAGTTCAACTTCTCGAATTATCTCGCGATATTCATCATGACGATGATCCTCGGTGGCCTCCCCAAAAGACACCCCATGATCACCTTTTTCCATTGGCGAAATGCACTATTTGCTTTATTTCCTAGGAAAAGGTTGTGCGTAATAATAAATGAGTAGTGGAAGGTTTTGCTGAGAAGACTGTATTTTTTTACACAGCCATAGATTATTTTGCGCCCGAGAAAGTTCATTTGTGGCTTACTAATGTAAAGTTAAATATATGCTTTCTAAATATCATAGTCTATACAGTAGTAGTTTTCCAATGTAATAATGATGAAAATTTTTGATGTCATGTCAGAAACCACATAGGTCACTTGTTATAATAAAATAGTGGAAGCAATTCATTTTATGATTCGGTGGTTGATTTTTGCATTTTTTTCACCGACAATATCAATATGTAAAAAAAAAATTTAAATACGACTTGTAATATACTGTATAAAACAACAACACACATATATATACTATATACAGTATATAATGTTTATATACAGTAGAACAATTCTTTTAACAAAAAATATTTATTTGACTGATGGTATACTTGTCTGTCAAAAAAAAAAGATTTAAAAAATTGCAAAAAAATTGTGATTCGAGTTATTAATTAAAATGTTTACAAAAAAAAAAAAAGAAAAATATTCATTAATAAAAATCTACATAATTAGAATTAATTTTATTTCAAAAAACAACAAACTTTTGTTTTTATTTAAGACAATGCATATTTTGTAAATTCCAATATTAAATTATAAAATAAATGTCTTATTATATTAATATTTTCTTATATATACAATAACAAGCTAAAAGTTTAAAAAAGAATTGTTTTTAAATTTTTTTTATTATATCAAAATAATCAGATTTGAAGGTTGTGAATATTATTTGATTATATAAAAACAATATTAAAAATATTTTTTATATACAATATATGTGTATATATTATTATTGTTGTTAGATTTATTAATATTCTTCTATAATCATTATTATTAATTAATTAAAAAAGTTCTTAAATATAACAAATATATTAAATCATTTATATAAAATATCTAATTTTTTGTTTTCTTCGATATACGTATTTTATAGAATAAAAAAATTTTTATAAAAATAAATTACAAACAAATTTATTTAAAGAAACAATAATTTTATTTTCATTAAACAAAGAAATCGAGATAAAATAAATATTTTTATATGTTAATTCAAAACTTATAAATAATTAATTAAAAAAACTATTTTAATCTAATAAATCAAAATTATTTAAATAAAAAAACTATTATATGAAATTATCAAAATAAAAATTTTTGATATTTAAAAATATATTAAAATACTTTTAATCTAAAATTTAATATAACCACATGATTTTAATAATAAATTTTAAAAATTTATATAAAAATTTTTAAGATTAAAAATTAAATGCATTAATAAAATAAATAATAACTTAAATACTTGAAGCATATTTATTTTTTTTAATTAATAATACTTTTTATTATCAATAAAGTTTTAATCTATTTGAGTAATTATTTTTGAAGGCGGACTGGAAATTTTCTGGTGTGATCCTAAAATTTATATTATATATGTATTGTTTAAAAGTTGGGTCCGAAAAAATCACATCTAGCATTTTTGTCGCCTTCAAAAATAATGACCCATTTTGTTAAAAAAATAAACTATTGTTTTAAAATTAAAATTAAAAATTTATCTAATTATTCAATTTAATTTTTAATTTAATTTAATATTAATAATTTAAATTTAAAAAAACTCTCACCCGTTCACCGCTGATTTTTGGAAAATTTCCTTTTTAGGAAATCTACTTCCAAGAAGCGTCTCACTTTTTTTATTCCCTAAGGCAATAAGCTTTAAATCCAAAGGATATAAAGACTTTAAGGAACACTGTTGCATTGGGATGGAACCTCTGGTTAAGACTTAAGCAAGTTGGGAGTCTTTCTTAGCTCTTGGTTGCATGGGGAAAGGCCCGTGGCAGCCTTCCTTCATAATTTTTTGTCTTTAGGTACCTTCCCCTCTATGACCATGATAATCGCTTTTTCTCTCACCTTTCTCTCTCTACAACACAATTTCAATCTTAATAACACATTCAAATATAGTTACTGGGTCTAATGTTTGTCTTAACACAACCTTTGCAAAATTTTTTATTTTTTTCTCTCTATCTAAACATCAATACTACGTTATATTTCTACACTTTTCTACACTCTTTTCAAATCTACTCAAAAACCAAAATCAGTTTCACCCCATCCAAAAATCTACACTCTACAAACGACCAATAAAATTTCTCTATTCTTAACAACAATACCAAACCTGTTCAAACTCGTTTACAACTAGTTTTCTTCCAACAAAAATTCCCACACTTAACAACAATACCAATTACAACAATACAACAATATTGACAATAAAAATGATCTGATAACTTACCGGATTGGGAGAGCGCGTGACCAGTGCCCTGCGCAGGTTCCGGTAATCTTTACTTTACATGTATCCAAATAACAAAACAAGCAATTGGAGCAGGCTCCAGTTACCCAACCCACTTATATTTCTATTACAACACTCTTTTACCAACCACATGACTTTTTATTATCTCAACAATGGAGTTGTGACCCACGAGCAGCAATGCTACCGTTAAAGAAAAAAGGCAGTCAAAGCCTAACCAATGTAAGTAAAAGTACAATACTTTTATTGTGAGTAGAAGTAAGATATCAGGAAGTTGTGCCCTGTAATCTGGCAGCTTAAGCCAGTGCTCTTCTACTGCTGCTAGAGTCACGCCCAGCTATCGAAAAGGAAGTGGTAACCTAGGTAGACACATTTGATTTGTGCCCTGCAGGAGGGATTGTTGGTTCAAAAATAATACACTCCTAAATCCTAAACATATCACCACTATAACTTTCTACTCTCCATAAATCATTAACTATATCTCTTACTTATAACTAAGCAGTATATAATCTATCCCATATGCTACCAATATTTTTTTTCCTAAATCAAACTTCTATCACTCTTTTTTACAATTGGTGATCCTGCTCAAAATGTTTTTTTTATTTTTTATTTTTTCGTAGCAGATAGTTTCTCAGGTTTTTCTTTCTAAGTTTTTTCCAATGATATATCTGCTCATGGTGGCAGATCAATATATATTATTATATACTTTATACTTTATTGATTTTGTATATAATATATTTCATTTACTATGTATAATTAATAAAGCCTTGAGGAAAACCTCATTTAGCATTTAAAAAAAAAAAAAGTATTATAATAATTGTTAAGTAAGATATTTATTTGTATATTTGAAAATATAGATTAAGCTATATTTTATCTTATCTAATTTCAAATCATTAATTTTTTTTTGTTAATTATTAAATAAAAAAACTTTTAAAAAAAATATTAAACCAATATTAATATTTTATATAACATGATTATTTTATAAATTATAGAAATTATAGAAGTTATATTCTGCTTAATATTTGTATTTTTAGATTTAATTACTTAAGTTAATTGGTTTTGAAATTAAAGTACTTACTAAGAAAGTAAAAAATGAAAATCTGTATTAATAATTAAAAGATCTATTAATATACTTATATTTTTTAAAAAGTTATATTTTACTTGATTATAAGAGTTTTTAGATTTAATAATTATTTAATTAGTATTTAAACTAGAATATTTACTAGGAAGTATATATTCTTTAAGAAAAATCTTTTTTATTATATTAGTTATATAAATAAAAAAATAAAAGCTAATAAATAATTTATATAAATAGTCAATAGTAATTAATTATATTGCTTTTATAAAAATTAAATTAATAAATTAGGTAATTTAAATTAAAACTTTAAAAAATATTAAACTAATATCAAATAGTATTAAAATAATACTGATCTATAGTAAATTCAAGTATTAAACTAATATTAAAGTAATATTAAAATAATATTATTAGAAGCCCTAATTTAAACTAATAATAGGATTTTATTTTTTAAATAAGTCTTTTTAAATATATATAATTTACTTGTAAAGTGATTAGTATATTGCCAGATATAATAATAGATAGATTAATATTTAGTTATAATCTTAATATTATATTTGATATATAAAAAGTTATAATATTTTTTATATTTAATAAAAACCTATATTTAATATTGTGTTTTATTATAAAAAAAATAAATTTTTAATTACAAATAATTAAATTAAAGATTAATTTAAAAAGTTTTTATTTATCAATACAAATTTAAAACTTTGAAAAATAATTTGTTATATAAACTTATATAAATTTGTATAGTATTAAAAATATTATAAAATTTGATTAATATATAATTTAATATATACAGTGGCGGTCAAAAGTATTGCATCACAGATCAATTTTTTATATTAAAACATAGTAAAAATTGAAATTTGTATGCTATAATAAAGTCTAATTTTTTACTAAGAAATGATTTTTTTTATTTTTCGCCCCTTAAATTCACCAGTTGTAGTTTATTATAGTTTTTTTCCAGATTTTTTGGATCCTTCTTTAAAAAACTACTCTGATTGAGAAAAAAAAA